TGAAATCCCCTAAAGGTCAGCAGTAGAATTCTACAATTTTTGATGAGGCTGAGCACTTCCCAATGCCTGTGTAAAGGAACCCCTTCAAAGGCATCATCTTTACTATCCATCCTTCACAAAACCTTGGGTCAGAGAGTGAGTATTTGGCCTGGAAAGCTATAGCTGCTGAAGACAGTAAGAATAAAGTTAAGTGGCTGTGTACATCTAGCAATTCTCTGCAACACTCATTTCTTTTTCCTTGGAAAAGGCAAGTGGTGCGCCGCATTTCTAGCTTAAAAGACAGCAGTCCAGATCTGAATATTAACTGACTTACAGTGAGAATTCCCTGCTTGGAAAAGACGGAAAATGTCATCCTCCAAACCCTTTTCGTAGTAGTTGATCAGGCTTTCCTTATGGTGCTAAAGCAGTTCAAGAAGCGCTCATGATGTGTTTGAGCACGTAGAACTGTATCAGAAGCTGATGGAGCAGTTTTTGCCAGTGAAGCGAAGCAGCCTCCTGTGCTGCGGAGGGTAAAGATGCCCCGTACGATCCAACGCAGGCTGGTTACTGTGCGGGCAAACGTAACCCTGCCTGTGCTGGCACGGAGTGTCGGCCCAATGTTTCTGCGTTATTTGCGTTAAAGAATACGGACGTACAGAGTGATGAGAACCTCCTCCTCCTCCTTTGATTACTTCTTGTTTGTATTAATCAGAGCAAGCTCAGGAAGGTTTTCACTTAAATTAATGAAACCACGAAAAAGGTCTCTGTTCTCTCGGGAAGTGCTGCTGAGATAGATAGCTACTAAGATAGCTTTCAAAGAGCCGAGATTTCAGTGGCTACAGAATAGTATTAAAAAAGGAGGGTAATCGGTACCCTTAGGGGGAGCATTACATCAGTTATAATATAAAATAGCCAGTAACAAAAAGACTAAGCTTGTGGAGTCAAAGAGAAAGTCTGCTGACTGAGGGATGTTTTGCCTGCAGGAATTCTGAATGAAGACACTAATAAGATCCAGATAAATAAAACGCATCCAGAAAATCTCTTCGTGTAGTTGCGTATGTTAAGAACCAAGTTTTATCTCAGCATTCAGGCAGGAAATCTAGTAAGTTCATAAATGTATTGTACTGGTGCTGTGTATTGCCCTTGATGAACTCAACAGCAAAGAATTTGTTTTTCTCATTTAAAAGCGTCTGATCAAACTACCACAATAATTTCAGCTGCATCATACAGTGTGTTGAAGTACCTGTCGGTGCAGGAGAATCTGACATATTGTAATATATAAGCAGGATTTGGTGCATGGATTTTTCAATACAATATCTGTATTGCACTTTGCATTCCAGTTATTTCAAAGATCGTGAAATTCCGAATAATTGCGCTGCGGTGACTTCGTGCATTACTCTCCATAGTATAGCTAGATTAGTACCTGGATCCAGAAAGCAGAAACGAGTTTGTGGGGAGGGAAGGGCTGTAGTATGGAGTGGAGTATGCATGCAGAATGTATGACAAAACTCTTGTGAAATGACTTTCAAATGCCAGCTGGCATTTGTGAAAGAATAGAGTCTTCGTATTGCTTAATTTAACAATTAGATTTTGCTTGCTCTGAGGCATAAGCAATGCTAGACAAATCTTTCAAACTTTTCTCCCAGTTAATCTTAACCCCATTATAGCAGATTTCTCCAGTGTATCTCAGTTCACCGTATGAATCTCTTGGATAATTTATCTTGACTATTCAGTGCAAATCATATTTGATGAGAACTGCTCGGCAAGAGCAGAATACAGACTCATGACTCCGAGAATTTCAGAACAGATGAAAGATTTTAAAGACAAGCTGAGCAAAAGTATGATCTCTCAGCTTTTTATCTCATCTACTCATATTTCAGAAATATATTTTTTTAACTTTCAGAAATGAAAATGGAGATTGTCTATTTTCCTTACTATTTATGTTATTTTTAAGAAATGTATCTTGCTAATGATGTTTGTCATTTTCAGCTGTATCTGTAAGTAGCATTTTAGAAGAGAAATAGCTTGGTTCATTATTTGCTAGGGACTTCACTGAATATGCTCAGCAGACAATTGTCATTTCTGTCTTGACTTACAATACACAGCATTTGAAATCCTTTTTGAAAGCTATTTTAAAGCCATATGGATCTTTTTATTATGAAAGCGCAAACCATCTTTTGGGTTTGAAACAAAAGGCGTGTTTAAATTTCTTTATGGATATAGAAAGTTCAACCCCTGTAACTAATTCTGTGACCATCCGTCACTGCTTGCACGTACAGGATGAATTAGTTTCTAAATGGCTTCTATAATTTACCCCGTTGCTTGCTTCGCTGCATAATATTTCTCCCACGTTATACGAAGGATAGTATTAAAACATAGTGAAATATATAACTTTTAGAGATCTGATATGAAAAGCTAGATAAATTCTATTTATGCTTCTGCTATTCAATTGTCAAGTAACTACAACGTTCACATAGTAAATACATTTCAATTTAGTTCTATGTTTTGCATGAATACTGCAACTCCAATGTTGGTGAAACCCGTGGTGGCAAATAGTTGTTCTAGATTTCCTGTATCTTTTCTGTTACCTCAGGTGCTTAGACAGCGGGTGAAGTGCACGTTTAATATTCAAGCAAAATATATACAACGTGGTCCTGCTCCTCTGACGTCACTGGAGTTTTGCTGTTTCCTTCAATGGAAATACGATCGAGCTCTGATGTGTGCATTTAAGGAGCCATTGTCTTCGGTGATTCTTAAGCACAGTTGATTGCTCTGTTGAAGCAGGCAAATATGCCTTCATGTTGTACGTTCTATCCAAATGTCGTTATGCATTTGTTGCAATGCTGCTGTGACTCAATTGCCTGTGTGATGCAAAGAACTCAAACCAGCTGTCACTAATACTTCTCTACGAATAACATCTTCTATTGTTATAGACTATTATTTGTTTAATCGCTGCATCTACTATGGTTCAAACAAATGCCAGTGCTAATAAGAGTAAAAAACAAACCTGAATTGTGTTTCTTCAGCTGGTATATCGGGTTTACACAGCAAGGCTTTGGTAGCAGCGGGGCTGCAGGGGCGGCCTCTCTGAGAAAAGACCAGGGGCTGCTCCCGTGTTGGACAGGGCCGGTTCCAGCTGGCTCCAAAACAGACCCGCCGCTGGCCAGAGCTGAGCCCATCAGGGAGGCTGGTGGCGCCTCTGTGGGAACTTATTTAAGAACGGGTTAAAATGCTGCACAGCAGCTGTGAGAGAGAAGCGAGAAAAATGTAAGAGAAACAACTTTGTGTGCATCAGCGTCAGTAAAGGAGGAGGGGGAGGAGGTGCTCCAGGCACTGGAGCACCTGTGGAGAAGATTGTGGTGAAGCAGGTTGTCCTCCTGCAGCCTGTGGAGGACAACGCCTGAGCAGATGTCCACACTGAACCCCCTGGAGGACCCCATGCCTGAGCAGGTGGTGATTCCTGGAGGAAGCTGCAGCCCATGGAGAGCCCACACAGGAGCAGGCTGCTGGCAGAACCTGCAGCCCATGAAGAGGAGCCCACGGAGGAAAAGGTTTTCTGGCAGAAACTGCAGCCCATGGGGGACCCACGCTGGAGCCGTCTGTTCCTGAAGGACTGCAGGGAAAGGACCCGCGCTGGAGCAGTTTGTGAAGAACTGCAGCCCATGGGAGAGACCCCACGCTGGAGCAGGGGAACAGCGCGAGGAAGGAACAGCAGAGACAAGGTGTTATGATCTGACTGCAACCCCCATTCCCCATCTCCCTGCGCCACTGAGGGGGGAAGGCAGTAGAAAAGCTGGGAAAGAAGGCATGAAATTGAGCCTGGGAAGAAGCGGGGAGGTGGGGAAAGGTGTTTTTAGTTTTGTCTTTGTTTCTCACTATGCAACTGTATTTTTAATTGGCAATAAATTAAATTAATTTTCCCCAAGTCAAGGCTGTTTTGCCCATGACAGTCATTGGTAGGTGATGTCCCCATCTCTATCTCAGCCCACGAGCTTCTCCATCATATTTTCTTCCCCTGTCCTGCTGAGGAGGGGGAGTGAGTGCATCCTGCTGGGCATGTGTTGGCCAGCCAAGGTCAGCCCACCACAGCTGCTTTGTGGAGACTGAACTAAACAAACAGGGTACCTTCACCCAGTCCTGGCTTTGCAAACAATTGCATCTCTTCCTGGATACTAGGACCTCACTGAGATAACGTTTTTTCCTATATTGTATTGAACTTTACAGATTTTTACAGTTCTTGATGTATGAGAGACAACTAGGTTTATCTTGTGAAAAATTATTAGTGAATATCTGTGTTTAAGTGAAATGACATCAACTGTATTCACGTCCCCTTTGCTCTGCTTTCTAGAAATATTCTAGCAAGCATAGTCAAAGAAAATTGTGAACGGGTGTTTGAAATTTATGTTCAGTAGCATTCAGAGCAATCTTTTTTTTTTTTTTTTCCCCCAAGAATACAAGTATTTTCTCCAAAATCTGATTCTCAGAAATCATTCTCATCCAGGCAAGGAAGTGAAATACACTATGTGACTTGTGTGTCTTCCCAAACCAATCAATACAGATTGGTTTTCAAATGATGTATTGAATAACTTCACTCACTTGCTAATGTACTACTAACAGTTAAAAATTATTGCCAGGCGTTATATAATTTTGAATAATTTACTCAGCTCTAGATGTCAGTCTATTATAGAATGTAATTGATTAGTTCAGGATTTTTCTAAACTTGATTCTCATCCTTGAAGCATCAGAGCTTTTTTGAATTTTGTGACTCACAGTCATGTGTCACTTAAATTCACAGTGAAGAAACTATGAAAACCTGCAGTATGTGCCAGATTCAGCGCAGATGTTTTTCTTTCACGACGAAATACTTCAAATTATATTAAAACCAGTTTAAGTTGCAGCATTAGTGAACAACCAACATTGTTCTACTCATATCTTAAGCTCTGTGCCATACCTGCTTGCTTATGTTCATTCGTTTTAAAGGCAGGCACAGTATGTTACAAACACAGTATCGAAATGGCATGTACAGTATGCCCATAGGGCCAGATTGGGATCTATTTGCTAGATGTACAGTGTACATTTTAAGGCACACTATAGGGATTGAGTTTACATTTTGATAACTCTGTCCTTTTATTTGCAAAGATGGTCACTACCTGGAAATGTTGCAAAAATAAACGTTCATCTCTAAGAGCGGCCAATGTATTTATGTTTTCATTTTATATTTTTCTCAAGAAAAAGTGTGTGAAAATGTGAACTTTAGGGCATTTTAAAAGTAAAAGTCAACTACCGTGTTACATTTTATATACATAGATATGTCTTTATATATATCTAAATATATAAAATGATTGTAGGAGCTCATACTATAAGCTTAGTTTTAGTACAGTACTTTAAATATACTGGTATTTATTTTCAGCTACACTTCTGCACTGCTTCTTTCTAATGCAGAGCTTGATACGGACATCGGTTGATAACAGCAAACAAAAAAAATTCATAAAGAATATTATTGTCTTATCATGCAATGTAGTAGGCATCCTGTGGCACTATTCTTTTATCCAACTTATTTACAGTACTGCTGAGTACATTATCAATAAATATTACAGTGTTTGTCTTATTTGATTTTTCATGGCACCCAGCAATTACTCGGGATACGAGTCCTGTCACACGTGAGTTTCAATGAATGAGTGTGTATGTGTCAGCATTGGTGCTGAGGTTGCAAGTTCAGAGGCTCCATTTTGGGATTTCACAGCAGCGCTGTACTCACAAATGTCCAGGAAAAACTCATAGTTCTTTAGTTTCCAATCTTTAAACTTCTTTGATGTTAAGCTGGGATCATCCAGAAGGCTGTTGATAACTGTGAGGTCCCCTTCCTTCGCCTATCAAATTCCAGAAAGACACAGTACATGTCAAAATGAAATTTATGCCGCATTTTGTATTTTGGCATTTTATTTTTTCTTTCATTTTAATGCAAAGTGCTAGGGAAACTGCTATGGACACTTAAATCTTTTACCTATGCTCAGGAACTATTACAGCTTAAACTGTTTGACAACTCAGTCCTTGGCACTTTCTATAATATGCCTATAAAGAGTGCCGAATAATTTTTTTTTTTCCTTAAGCTGGAACATGTTTGTTTTCAAGTATTTTTGGTTTCTTTGGAACTTAATTCTAAAGCTACGAAGAAAGCCTCATCCATGGAAAACAGAGAGAGATTATACTTTTACGAGTTTATATTGCTCACACACAAAATTAATGGTAAAGCCTTACTTTTAAAGTGCTCTTGAGAACTCTGATGTGGTGAAGCTTTTCATTGATAACCGGATCATTACATCGCTTTATAAAAGACTTGCGGAACTCCTGCTTGGTGGAAGGACGCTGCTCTCCAAAAGCTGACAAACTAGCTTGTTCCAGAGATTTGTACAGTTCTTGCAGACCATCTGTATTTTCTCCAATTTCTTTTATGTTTTCTGAAAGAAAATAGATAAAGAAACCTAAAACCAAATGTAGTCATTCAGATGAAGTCTCTAAAACCAGCAAGCAATACTGCAAATTCATGTATAAAGTAACCCTGTAACACGGTCTTCCACTTTTTGTTTTAATGAAACAAGACCATTTTGATCAGCCCCAAAGCTATATTCTTAGCACTACATCCAAGCATTTTAGGTGCAAACTCCTCTGTGGTGACTGATGAATTTGCCAGCGTGTAACAGTTCAACCACAAAAACCTTGCTGAGAGTAACGCAATATTGCTCCGGCATTCAATGGCAGTAAAGAGGATGAGAATACCTCCAAAAGCGTACCTTCTGCACAGAAACTATTATGCCTTCTAATAGGAACTTTCTCTTCTAGCTTGTCGTCTGTTCCTTCTATGGACTTGACACGTCCCTTACCCCTGACATCTCTGTTTCGGGGAAGGCTTTGACTACGTTGTTTCTGTGGCCTGCTGTAAGAGCTATGTCCCCTTTGACATTCCACCAAAGGGAAAGGCCCATCCTGCTCGTAATTATGACGTCTCTGTACTGGCAGCGTTGCTTGTCTTCGTTTGTCCGGTGACATTCCAGGCCGCCCACTCATGTACTCTGCATCAGGAGGAACAGTCTGAAGAAAATGGAGCCCTGAACTGGTTAATGGAGTCTCTATCAGATCCTGCCATGAGCGTCTTTCTCGGTAGGGAGGTCTGCATCCTGACGAGTGTGTGCTTCCTGCTACGTCTTGTCGAGAATCCTCGGCGGAAGAATGGGAGTATGTTGATTCACTTGAAAAGTGTCGACCGTGTTTGGCTTCAGGGAATGGACTTGAAGAATTCACCTGAAAAGAGACAAAAGCAGCTGACTATAAGACAACGTTTTGAACAGATCCAAGAAAATGACTGTAGCTTAGGACATTATATGATACATACTAATAAAATGGACTGATGTGTGTGTTTTGATATGTCATAGTATGAACCTCCGTAAACAGAACATAACTAGCAGTGAGATCTTTTATGCAAGTGCTACGTTTTAACCACTCCCTATTCTTGTTTTGCACATTCTCTGCCCATGAGCAACTCCTGCTGGAAAGAACAGTATAATACTGGTACAGGTTTCCTGAAGACCTGTCCAGTTTACACGCAGTCCAGCAGCGTGCTGTGAAGGCATGAAAGCCCCTAAAAGAAAACATAATTGGATTTCCTTTCTTTTTTTAGGGGATAAGTATCCAGCCAAACAGAAAAAAAAAAACACTTCAGCACCCAGGAAGATTTTTGAATCTTAGGGGACTGCTGAACTTAAATTACTTTAATTAATTCTGCTGGGTCTGTGTATAATTTTAATTCAAAAATAAAGAGAAGGCAAAAAAGTGGAAAAACAGAAAGGGAGGGGCTTAACCTGTATCCCAGTTGATAAAACAGCATCACATGGGTGAAAATCAGTCTGAACTTCACCCATGTGATGCTGTTGTCTCAGTCACTCTTTCTTTGGTTCTGGCTGTGTGAGGATCGTGTCATTCACGCTGAAGAAAAATCTGAAAGAAAAATAGAGAACAGTCCTATCTGTGCTTAGAAACAGAGTAATTATCACAGCCTGTCTATGTTCCTTATAATAGAAACGTTCTTATTTTCTACTAGAGCCTCTTCATATACAAATTTTTTTTTCCTCAGTTATCAAAACTTGTCTGTGCACAATATATTAGAAGTACTTTTATCAGCTACTTAACATCTTATGACACTAACAGAAAATACTGTCACTACTATGGTATTGTACACAATGCTTCATATTGTAAAAAACCCCTTGCCTCTAAAGATAGGTTCTTAAAAAAAGTGTTTGTACTACAACAGGATTACTGCATGAATGTGAGCTGATCTTAATCTCTAGCATCCAGTATCCGATATTCATACTTGAAAAACAGGCTCAGTTAATACAAACTATCCCATCCACCACATTCTTTTCATATTCTGCAGTAAAGTCAACATCTGAATATTCTCTTCATATTATTGGGTGCAATCTCCCAAATCCTACAAAAAATGTCATATTTACAGTCTGGTGACATATCTGTGTGAGGAGGCATTTACCTCTCCTTCCTTTGTAATTGGCTTGTTATGGAAACATTCAAGGGCTTAGCTCGTGAGGAACAGCAGTAATTTCATTCTTACAATGAGATCCGTCTTTGTTCTGCCTTTATAGTAATTAAATACTCCAAAACAAGGAAAATGCAAACCAAGGCACACAGATATTTTTTGGTGACCTACTGCAATGCAATATTTATAACTCACTGAGGGGGTTCGGTGATAGGTGTCACACAGTGTTGAAGAGCCTTCCTGCTTCAGGGTTAAAGAGCCGTCGATGTCATCCTGGTCGCTTTCACTCCAGTAATCTGCTAACAAAGCATTCCGGGTTTCACTCATGTGCTTTTCCACAAGAAAGGGGTCCCATCTTTTAAAAGTATCATTAGCATGCAAAGGTCAACATTTCACAGTCACCTAGGTGGCTTGGCAGTCACTGAGGAACAGACTTGTGAAAATGGCTGGCACCTAAGATACACAGATGTGTAGAAGAACCTTCAAATGTTTGAGGGTAGCGTTACAGAAAGCAGGTTAGGCACCTAACTCCCACTGTACGTAAAAACCAGCTTCTGGTTACAGACTTTCAAAGAGAAACTTCATTCTAGATGCCGAAGTAGAGCTGAGCCTCAACACTTGATTTAATTATGTTAGCACAACAGGTTCCACCACGGGTGATGGTGAAAAAGGCAAGGCTGGCACCTGAGCTCAAGAGATGCAAAAAGGGTTCTCGGGCACATAGTGACCTGTGTGTGATGGCTTCACTCACTCTAGGGCGATGAGCACATCCGATGGCTGTGATCTGGGAGATCATACCCCACCCGAAACGTTGCATTCTCTTTATCACTTGTTTTAAATATTTCTTAACATTGTTACTTGGGATTTTACTTTCTTTGGTGGTGACACCAATAAATATAGTTCTCCAAGGATGTGGATTCTTATGAAAATTGATATTTCAAAAGATATGGCACGTACGTTAATAAAAAAGTCAGTTATGACATCTCCAACTTTGTTCAAATAATGAACAGATATGTACTCTCTGCTCTCTTCTCCTAATTATAATCTGTGAAGCATTACCTTCATCTGGACGAATATCCTTGTCATCAGGTGTGTAACCAATCGCTGCGAGACCCAGACGATTCATCCATCTAATAGAACAATAAAAAATGAGGAAGAGAGATACTTAAAAGGAACATCTAGTGTAAATCTGAGGGCATACACATTCTTAACATTTGGAAAAGTCAGAGAGAACGCTTAGTCCAAAAATTAAGCACAGTTCAGGCTGTTAAAATCATGATTCAGATGTGTTCATTGCTTAATAATTTTAAGTGAAGGATGTTCCAGTTCACATCACAGATTCTATTCACACCTGCTGGAGGATGTTTGCCTAGTGAAGTACCAGACTCATTGCGTTTTATTCTGCTGCCTGGAAAACTGAAGAATTATGACATCAATCTTCCTTAGGTCATCAAGAAAATGTGAAGCAGACATACTAATATGCTAACTTTAGCAATGACTAAACGAAATTTTTAGAATAGTCTGTGCAGAACAGAGAACGTCCAGCTCTGTCTCCACCTTAAGCAGAATCAGATCCTCTCTCAGTGGCGTTTGCAAACTGTTTGTGTGGAATGGTTGCCAGAGACATTGTGTAAAGGAGCTTATTACATTTATTCTGATTGCTACTTCTATTAATTTCAAGAACTTGCCTGAATTGCAAAAATACTATAAAATAAAATAGAATTATACTAATAATTGCATGAAAACCTATATTAGAAAATAAGTTGTATTAAATCTGTATACTCAGAAAGCTAAAACAGACCATGACAGTATTCCACTCGTTATTTGCTAGTCTAGATTCATGATACTGGTGACATAAATGTTTAGGCTTGTTGAGCTGCGATACCAACGTTATTTTCCTTTGATTTTTTTAATACAGAATCTTAGGTTTCTAAAACAAGACTTGGTAAATTGAAAGTACTTCAATATTTGCATTTCACATTCAATGTTCTGGTTTCTTTCTTTGTCCCAAAATTAATCAGTGTAATCAAAAATAAGATTCTTTGTTTCATTAGGAAAATATTCTAGTTTATTTTGGGGAAAATACCTTTAGAGTTTTCTTTATCTAAGATTACTGGATGTTTATACAATATATCATTGAAAGGCAGGAAAAAAGGACATTAACACATAGAGAGGAAAGTCACTTCTTAATGTTCAGCAAATGGAAAATCAAGAATCAGCTTATTTTCATCAACGAGGACACATAACCAAAGGAAAAAGCCCTATTAATAGACATTTGTAATGACTGGGATGCATTCTTAAATATTCCCTTACTCAGTGACTAAATTATTTACTATGTCATTCATTTCCTAGTATATTGCACGTAAGAGTTTTCTAGAAGCAGCTCTTTTTTCTTTTTTTAACGTTGCCACATAAAATTTGTTAATAATTACATTCTTCGTTAATGAATCATAGCATGACAAAAACATCTTTCAAAGACTTCCAGAAAGACATTAGTAAACAATACCTACAATACATGTCAAAAGGACAGGTTTTTTGCAGATTAAAAGAAGAAAACTATTCAGTGTGATTCTTTCCCACTTGTACTAGAGCAGACAAAAAGCTTCTAAGGACATATGTGAATGTATTATTGGTCTAATAGGATAGTATATGGAAGATGGTGCAGACAGCAAGGAGGCAGAAAATGAAGGACGAGTGAACCCTCCACTAAAAATAGCCCACAGTTCAGCACGTATCGATCTCCCGGTCTAAGCAACGCTCTGCGGTCGCTCAGAGCAATGATCTTAATCTGTAATATTGGATCTAACACTGACTCATTGTCCGGCCTTCAGCAAATCTTTCTACGTATCTTATGGCTTTCATAAGTATCCAAAGGGGACAACAACATTTACTTCTTGCAGGGAATTGTTATAGGGTTTAATTTACTTGCAAAACTATGAAAATGTGAAGAATTGTACAATAATATTGCTTTGCTTTTCAGTATTAAAACAGAAGTGGGGAAATTGGAAATAAAAATGGAAATGATGATTAGTTTTCACAAATATCAGCTGCAGGGTTAGGACTGCTTACGGAGACATTGTTTATGTCAGCACATCAACAACTCATCTCTATCATGAAGGAAGTAAATTTCAAATGCATTATCAGGTTTACAGAAAAGCTTTTCTACAGCGCTCACCAGCGTAATTTCATTCAACAAAGGCATGCTGATCACTTGACATTTGCTTCTGGAAAGGCATATTCCTTATTGCAGTAATTGAAGTGACATCATACCCTTGCTCATTATTAAGCATTTGTATTCACTATTTTTTCAACAGTTGTTCCTGAATTTCTAAACTCATTAGCATTGGAGTAAAATAGTTTCAGTCATACTTTACCATATGCCTTTGGCAATTAAGCAGAATGCCTCAGCGACTTCAACTAAGGTTCTGCTTAAGGACCAATGATAAATTAGGGCTCATTACCATTTTCAAAGTTAAAACAGACTCAGCCATTTTGGTGGTCAGTGAATGGATATTTATATTGTCTTAAATTTCTTGCCAAATTTATCTTGTTGCTCATTGTTAATTTGAGGGTTTCAGATCTTGGAAGCATATATAGATAACAGTCAACGTGTTAACATTAACCTTCAAGAGAACACGGATATTCTTAGCAAGCACAGAGTATCAGCTTTATTCATATGGCCTCAATGTCCGAATCTGGAATTAGCAGAAGGTAATCTTCCTTCTCTAAGACTGCGCAGATTTTTCTCTTCCAAAGGGCAAGATCATCCCCAGCTATAGTTACAAGTACTTTCTTACCTCATTTACCACAATTTAGAGTTAGGTCTTTGTCAAGACAACAAAAAGGGTTATCTGATGACATTCAGTGGCTTATAATGATAAAATCTCTTCTGATAAAAGAAAAAGAATCTCAATTTTAGGTTTTGTGTTTTTAAAAAAAGCACGGGTGAATGTTTTTGAGGTTAATCAGGAGTTATAGAAGTGCTGAGATTACAGATGCTTTTCTTACAGTTAACTTTTTTTTTCCAAGGAAATGCAAGCTCAGTTCAAAAGGAACGCTGTGTAAACTTGATGAATTTACTTGATGAGCAAACCACTTTCATTTTTAAGAAAACAGGCAGTCAAGGTTATAAAAAGTTCTCTGTGGAAAGCTTGGAAACTCAGCCATTTGGTTCCGAACTCTGCACTGAATGCCTTGCAGGCAAATCTCAGCTTTCAGGAAGGCAACGGGAGTATGTGTCAGAACTGGACTCTCCAAGGGATAGATGACTGCATGTTTACTTGAAGGTCACGCGATGCAAGGCTGCATACTACACCTGACAAGCAGCTATAGTGAAAAAAACCCCAGGAGATCGTTTGTCCAATTTGGTTTATACAGCTGTACCCCAATAGCTCTTCAAATTTCATGTGATCACAAAAGGACATGAGAGATTCTGACAGGTACGTGTATACCAATCTTACATGTACATCTCTCTATATCTTGGCCCCCTGAAGCAGAAAGTTGGCCTCCTCTTCCCCGCAAAACCCTACCTTTTTTCTTTCATAATTTCAACTACTCTCTTATTTTGGTAATTAAACAACTTAAACAGCACGCTTCACTAAGTTTGAGTCTAGGCCACTCAAGGAACCACAAGGTTTGCATTCTAGATAGAAATTAGTTGTGATGAAAAGGAGCCGTACTAAATATCCCAAGGATACTTTGCTACAACATTTTACCTTCAATATAGTACAACATCTCCATAAGATCCATCTCAGTGAGGTACATTTCAGCAACTTACAAGGGACCAAGAAGTGTATTAATCATTTTTTGCTGCCCGTACCTTAGTGAACCAAATGCAGGGAAAGGTAAACCTCAAGTAAAGTCATTGAAATACATAAGTTTAGTACTTTGTCTCCATGGTTTAAATTCTAAATAAATCAGACTTGGCTTTAATTAATTCTGTTGATTACAAACAGACACTGTTGTCATTACTTTGGGATAAAACAGAGCTGCATGGTAGGAAGTTAAGTTAAATTTACTGTGATAATTCTGGTTAGTACCAGGGGATTACAGCCCAGGGCCTCTTCTGAGAGTCTGGTTCTACCCTCCGGGCCTGGAAAGTGACGATTACAGAGGCACCGAGGGCAGGGATGACCTAAGTAGCTGTGACAATGATCAAAACTTGCTACTGAAGAGTGAGTCATGCTTGAAATGCCCAGAATTGTCAGGAGCACATTCTCTTACTGATCATTTAATAAAAACACTGGAAAATGTTAAAGTGGACCAAACAACTGGGGAAACAATTTCATATAGCTTCACTGTCCTAACACACTATATTAAAAACAAGACTATGCCATTACTCATTGTACAAATGCAGAAAGTTTCTGTTTACTGACGGTTATCATTTACTCCTGCCAAGCATGGTGGTGAGCCAGTCCAAGGTCAGCGTGAGGTTTTGGGATTGAAAGCAACAATAGTTTTCATGGTGGCATCACACTTTACCCACTTGGCTATTCCTTTCTACAGTCCAGAGTAAAATAGCACAAGTAAAAAAACCTAAACAACTTGGACAATCTCAGTTATAATAAATTTGAGAGAACTATTATGTTTAGCGTAGGAGAATAAAAATCAAAGGCAAGAGGGTAACCATTTTTTTAAAAAACAGGTGCAAAACTTACTTTTAGGGTTATAGCTAAAACCCTCCCATAAATCCGTGGGGAACAGGTCAGGAAGTACCGGGTTTCTGTGGTTCAAATAAGTTTTATTTGCTAATATCCTCAATGCTGGACACACTTTTTGCATGTATAAGATGGCTGGTATATAGAAGAAACTATTCAATCCAAGTGAAAAAGTAAATAAAGGATATATTCCAAAAAGGTGTAAATTCAAGAAAGAGTCTATCCACTTTCACTGTTTCTTTCTGTTAAATGTTCCCTTAAGAATGAAATCAATGAAATACTGAGGCATTAAAGGATAGAATAAATAAATAGTTATATATTTCCTATCTTTCTTGCATCATTTAATCAATTAATACTTGCACTTGTATGTCATGTCAGGTTTGTATTATAAATGTTTCAGTGCAGGAACGTATCTTTCTTCGCTTTTGAGATTGCATCTACCCTTGAGACTATTTGGTTAAAAGGAAAAAACA